TTTTTTTTGCATTTTTTCTGCAAAAATACCCAGGGGCCGCAGCCCTGGCCCCGGTTGCTGCCGCCCGCCACCCCACACCGCCAGGGCTGCCTCCGCACGGCTCTTTCATGCCGCAGCCCCCGGCCGCCGCCGCTCCCAGAACAGGCCCGGGAGCAGCCGGAGGGCCGGGAAGGGGATCGGGAAAGGCAGGGCCCGCAGCAGAGGCGCTGCGCGACCGCTGGGCACGGCCTCAGGGGAAGGTGGAGGCTCATCCTCCGGAACAGCAGTACGGGCAGGCGGAGGGGCCGTGCTTACATCCCGGGATGGCAGCGGGACAGCGGCTGCTCCACGCCAGAGCGGGCACCCACACCCCTTCTCCCGGGGGAGAGACCCGGCTTCCCGGGACTCCCAGTCCACGGGGAGCCAGCTGGGCGACGGCAGCTGCGTTTCAGGAGGGAAAGGCAAAGGCTGGAGTGCTGCTCCGGTTCCTTCTCCCTCGTTGCAACAATCCCAAAACGCAGGATCCCCTCGGCAGGGGAAGGCTGAGCTGAGCTGGGCAGTGCCGGCCCCTTCCAGCCCCGCGTGCCCGCCGGGGCTGTGCTGCAGGGCAAGAACCTTCGTTAGCTAACGAGGCGCRGAGCCCTGGTCTTCAAGGACGGTTCCACCCTGCTGTCCTTGCCGAGGTGCCATTTTACATTCCTGCTTCCCATTCTTTGGGATCAAGTCCTGCTCCTTCCCCGCTCAGTACAAAGAACACACCRGTGCCACCCATTCAAAACAACAGAAACTGAAGCTTTATCTAAAGCAAAACAAGGAAACCCCAAAGCCTTCGACCCGAAAGGCCTCTGCGCTACGTGGAACACAGGCTGGGAGCGGAGGGGGACGCCGGGTACGGGAGCTTGGCCGCGTCTGGGGAGCCGCGCGGGGCCCAACGCCCRGCCCTGCCCGAGCAGGGGCCAAACGAGACAACGGGGGCAGAATTCGGCCCTTTAGAGTCACACGTGGGGCTGCTCCGGGCGCCCTCCGGCTCAACTGCAGCTCATCCGTCTCGTTCTTGCCTGGACTCATTAGGAAAAATAGATATATATATAACCAAAACCAAAAAGAAGAGCTTCAGACAACACACGGTATCAAAATGTTAGAGGAACACACTAAAGTCTCGGGAGAAGCGGGGCGCTCCCCAGCGCCACGCGTCCTTGCGGTGCGGATCGGGGGCGCCGAGTTTAGCTTACGGGGACGGACACACACGCGGCCTCCGACGCCAGTCCCTGCGAGCGCCCCTCAGTCGTTGGTTTCTGGGTCCGTCTGCGCCATGTAGGCGTCGAGCTCCGCGTCGAGGTGCCCCTTCGTCTTGGACATGTAGGCGTCCAACTGGTTGTCCAGCTGCTCCTTGGTCAGCGCGGGCCGCGCCGCCCCTCGGCCTCGGCCCCGGCCTCGGCCGCGGCCTCCGAAGCCGCCTCTTCCTCGGCCGGCCATGCCRCGACCTTGCAGCGAGACAAGGGGACCGTCACGGGCTACGTGGAGGACAAAGCCCTCAAGTTCTGAGCCCTTTTTGAGGTGGCTTCTAGAGCAATGAGGGACCATCAGGCTAAAAAGCACCAGCTACAGCTACGAGCCCGAATGTCCCATCTCAACGTCCCAGGAACAGGGGCTAAGAGAAAGAGCATTTGGCTCCTGTTCTAAGCAAGCACCCGTGCAAGGCACTCCCGACCCTGGCCTGGCTCCCTCTCATCCTTCTCTCTGTTACTGCTGATAAGGGAGAGTTAATTATCCAAGGCTTGCTCCCTATCAACAAAAGCACAAATCTGAAGCTYGAAATTGCATCTTTATCGAGCAAACTGCTCGCTCGCCTGTAGGGGGGTAGGTTTTCTCCTCTATTAAGTCTCCCTACCACTTACTTACTGGTTATTTTAAGCCTTAGGGTTTATGGAGAACAGATATTAGTGGCCCTTTCCAACAGCCTTCTCCAGCTCGGGAAGCTCCGCTCTGCAAAGCGTCGGGCGGCCGCAGAGTGGGCTGCAGCGGGGCCAGGGGCCCAACCCTCCTCCCAACCCCTCCCGGGACGTGGCTTAGGCTGAACGCTTCCCACACGGCAGCCTTTGGCACCGCGCTGAACGCTGCTTGGGGACGGGGTTAAAGTCCGCGTGCACGCACACGGACTAACCCGAAACGGGAAAATTGAAGAGTTAAAACCTACTGTGGCGTTCGCAGCGGKGTCCTGAGCTCGGTGCCCACTCACCTCTGCCTCCGAGGCCTCCGCGGCCCATGGCTCCTCGGCCCAGGCCGCCTCTCCCGGGGCCACCGCGGCCCCGGAGGCCGCCTCTTCGCAGGCCCATCCTCGGGGACATCCCGCGTCCTCCTCGCAGCAGGCTCTGACCTGGAGGGCGCAGGAAGCCGGGGCAGGCACACAGGTTATTCGCGATGCTGCCCGCAAGGCCCGGGAGGCTGYGCGGGCGCCGCGGGGCAGCACTGACCTCTGAGCGGGATCCCTCCTCGGAGCAGGGCCCGGGCTCCGCGCGCGCCGCGCATGGCTCCTCGGGACAGCCCTCTCTGCCCCATGGGCAGCCCTCTTCCTCCCATGGCTCCGCGGGCGAGCGCTCCGGCCGGGCGGCCCAGGCGGGCCTGGATGTTGCTCTTGCCGAGGCGCTGTTTTAGGCTCTTCTGGAAGAAAAGAGTCGCGGGGAACAGGAGAGGTCATGGAGCAAACCCGGATTTGCAACGGGAACAGGAGGCGTCACACACGGGCTGCGGGCAAAGCCAGCACCGCCAGAGCTCCGCAGGCCTCAAAGGAGGACCAGCAAACYACCTGGGGAGGGACATTTTGGCAAGGTGAGAGGACAAGGACCCTTCGTGGAAGCAGCCTGCGCTGTAAAAGGAGGCATCTCCTTTTTACCAGCGCTGTCCGGCCCAAATCAAAGCACTTCACCCACCAGGCAGCCTAGTGATACTGTGGTCTTTCGTTCAAATACTCCTCCGAGCTAGAAAGCAGCTCTGCTCCCAACTGTGGAACAAGCCTGACCTGCCGCTACGGCCCTTTCCCGGCCACCTTCCACAAGGAGCAGCGGGAAGCACGGCAACTTGCCCACTTTTTCCAGAGGCAACGCTCCGCGGGAGGAAGCCAGCCCTCACCACCATGACCAGCGCACAGTGGAGCTGGTGGTTCCATCTCCCTGGCTTTCCCCGGCACAACGTGGCCGCTGCCACCTCTGTCACCAAGCCCGGTGTGGTGCTCAGCCTTTACCAGCCCACAAAGAGCTTCCCCCAARGGGAGCTCTATGGTTGTCACGAGAAGAGCAGCTCTTGCTCCTAAGCAGTTAAACCACCACAGGCTGCTCTAACACTTCAACCAGGTGACAGTTTGTGTGACAGCTCTCCCGGCCTGGCTGGCCTGCTCCCGCTCAGAGCCGTGTCTCCTGGAGCTGTCCTGTCTGCTTGGACATTCCCTCGCTCTTCCAACTRCTGCAACCGTCTTGGATTTCAGCATCTTTGGCCCAACTCAGCAGCACAACGGGCCTGGAAAGGACGGGAAACGCTCCCAATGCAGCTCCGTTCCCATCGCTCACCCCAGCGGTTTGGGACAAGCTGCTGGACTTTGCACTGAAGGAACCCAAGGGTGAGTGTCCTTCTGCTTTCCTGGAAGGGGGAGCGTCCTGCTCTGCTCCAGCTGCTACCCAAACGCACAGCTGGAGCCACACAACRAGCTCTACTGAAGCAGCTTTTTGGCTCTTTTGTACCATTTTTTAATGACTGCTACAGGAATGCCACCTCGAGCCCCTCTCCTTCCTTCCCCGAGTCCAGAGCTGCATCAAAACCATTTGATCTCTGTTCCAGAGGCAAAAGCCCACACGAGGACCTCACAGCACCCTGCAATTCTAACCACCAAAACGCTCAATAACGACCTACTTTTTAAGGAGAATACACTAGCCCTTAAATTAAGCGGGCCCTGCATTCTAGTTTGCGCGTGCAATCAACACGAGTTTGTTCATCTGGTCCTTGCAGGTGGCTGCTACCAAGGGAGGGCACCAGGAGAGGCTGGTGTCRCGGCTGGGAACAACCACCTCAAGCGGACAGTAAGTCCTGGGAACAACCTGCAGCGCCTGCAGCTACATTGAGGGATGAAGCACTCGGCAGATCCAGAACCTCAGAATGACAACATTTCTCTGAAAAAATAGAGAGGAGATATGAACAGCCAGCACAAAATTCATTCATTCAGTACAATTAACCAACAAGGCATTGCTTGAGTGAAAACAAATCATATTCTGTTGGCCCCTTTATGCCTCTCATCTTTAAATTTCAGGGGTATTGTTTTGAAAAATACACCTTCTCCTGAAACTTCCTCAGCTGGCAACAGGCATCATCAGCTSGCTGCGGGGAAAAGGGGATTATTTTCTCTCACCTGCTTAAGTTTCAAAGCAGCCTGGACAGAAGGTCTATTCTCCATCTGCTGGGCCAGTCTTCTGTTTCTGGCACTGGCCAGTTGCTGCTGCTGCTGCATGGTAGCCCGAATATTCACCGGCATCGGCTGTTTGTTCTTCAGCATGTTAGTAAAGCTTCAAGGTCGAATAAAATGGGTGTTTAAATACAGCTTTATTACACACATTTACTGGCATTTCATGGTTCTCAAGATTGGATCTCCAGATCCCATGAACCTTATGTAAAGAGTGGTACTTAGGYCACGCCATATGGGAATTAGGTATTCCTCGTTTTCCACAAGTGTGCAAGAACTGGAAACTCGGAAGTGATGTGCATTCATTCAGCAGTGACAAAAGCTTTAGGATACTGATTTTTAGAAATGGAAGAAGGAATGAAAACAAGCGATAAGCAGAGATGACCATGACGGATGAGAGAGGACACTGCAGAGGAGAAAAGCAACTGAAATCTGGCTGCAAAACAACCTCTCGGAGCTCAAAAAACTGTCTGGAGACTCAGTGCCACAAGATGGCTTTATAAAGGCCACCGCCCTGAGGACACACTGGTGCCATGCGAGTGGACTTTAAAATAAAAAGTAGATTTTTGGGTAATTTCTTTGGTGCACGAAGGATTTTCTGCCTTTAAGGGCTCCGGGGACATTGAGAAGATGTTAAGCGTCCTTAGCAGCAAAGCACCAGCTTTCTACTGCGTCCTGGGAGCTCCCCAGGAGGGCAAAATAAAGCACTACCGAATGAATAAGAAGGGCTGAGCAAAGCCCGGCAGGAGAGCAGGCATTCACTGCACTGCCCCTCACTGCTCCTCTCCTCCGGGATAAAAACCAAGCGCTGGCTCAGACTAAACCTCACCTGGGCACTTGCTGGAGCAGGAACTGCCCAGAGACGGTTCCTTTTTTTCCCCCTAGCTTAGTAATATTAACACAGTTAATCCACAAGCAATTAGGGAGAAAGTGAAACATAACTGAAGCATCACTGTTAGTYGCCACCGTAGAACCACAAAAGCTCGAGGGCATGGAGGAGCAGAAGGATATTGAGAAGAAAGGAAAGAAGGAATCAGCAGCAAGGAAAGAGAGAGATGGAGATGGAGCAAAGCATTTGCCTCTTACAAGGCCCACAACTTTGGTACAGGGCCTTTGGGCTCGTTCCGTGGCCTGCCGCGTGCCTCTTACAGGCTGGACCACGTGTCCGTGGGTCCGCCTTGGACAAAGCAGCGAGGCTCCTGCAGCTTGGGTAACATGCTACCGGACTGCAGCGCCCACTATATAAACGTAAAAAACATGTGGAAGAGAAACAGGGAGGGTGCGAGGTTTCTCTTTTTTTGTTATAACCCATCCCACCATATTTACGGGTTGAATGGCTTTATATTAATTGCTACGGGTAAATCTCTCCGAAACAATTGCCCTTTTAACCTCGTGTACCACAGGTGTCGCAGCTTAAGACAGAGGTGCAGAGCCATMTGCTTGTTAGATGAGGTTAAAAGAGGGCCGAAACCACGTTGGTTTTTGGAAACCAGATAGTGATAAGTAAGTAAAAAATATTTCTTATGAGCTGAAGCTGCTGTTGGCTTCCTCACCGCTCGTTCAGAGACATCTTGGTGGTGCTCTTGAGCACAACCTTCGGTGCTGACTGTGCAGCCATCTTCAGCTCAAGAGAATCTGCAAAACATAAAAGCCTGAGTTGAAAAAAAAATCTGCATTTGCTGGGTTAAACGCTCAAAAACCTGCCGGCCCCCTCTGCTCCTTGTGCAGAAAAAGCCAAAGATTTGGCAAATAAGACCCTATTGGTGCTTTTCTCAAGTTCCCTTGATACAGTAAGCCTAGGAATTTGTGCTACCTCACCTCTTATTAAAGGCTGCCTTCCRGAAAGGGAGGTTTTGCTGCTGGCAGGAATAATGCTGCAGAAATACAGCCTGCCACCACCCAAACACCTCACCCAGCGCTGCACCTGGTGTYGTTTCTAAGCAGTTAACAACTATAAAGCAAAAAAAAAAAAAAAGAGATTCCTCTTGGAATAAGCTTTGAACTTTACTACCAAGCCTGTTTTTCCTCCGCAGAGGCCCCACATGGGAGCAAAGCATCRCGGCCACATCCCCTCCCGCTACCTCAGCGGGACACGGGGACCGTGTCTGTCCCGRCACGCCGGCTCCGCCGGGCTCGTGACGCAGCTCTCGGACACAGYGTCGCCCACGAGGGCGCTGAGCGGATTTGACCGCGGCTGTCATTACCTTTAGGTCAAGTTTTAGCAGCCGTGACGGACAACTCTAACGCAGCGCTTCGTTTTTATCATCGAGATGACCGGTAAAATCTTTAATCCCCAAGCTACCGGTGACAAGCGAGGTTTTTAYCATGTTTAACAGTCCTCCCAGCCAGGAGCTGAGCTAATCTGCTGCAAATGAACTAATCCGCTGCAGTATTTTTCCCCCGGGGGGGGCTGGAGGCTCCTTCAGCCCCTCTTTTCTCCGCCCCTGCCAACTGCCCAGCGGAAAAGGCCACTCGCAAGAGCCCCCCAGCCCCCCGAACAGCAGGAGCTCCCGGTTAGGGTCAAACTAAGCGCAAATCGCCGGGCAGAGGCCCCGGCCCGGGGCCTCCCCGCACGGAGGCGCCGCGGCGGCGCCGCAGAGGCCGCGGGCCGCTCTTACCGAAGCAGACGGTCGCCAGGTCTCCGGTGGGGCTGCCTGGAGAGCTGAGGGGGGGCGCGGAAGGGGTGCGGGGCGCGCTCCGGTGCCCTCGGCCCGCTCACCGCCGCGCTCGAGCACCCGCGACAAAATGGCGGCGCCAACGGCCACAAAACCCTCCCCCGTCCCCCCGCGACCAGCCTGGCAAAATGGCGGCGGAGGCGGCGGCGCGCAGCGCGCAGGCGCGCGGGGGCTGCGGCCACGACCACGCCCCTTCGCCGGCGGGGGCGGGGCCGAGCGTTGACGCGCGGGGGCTGCATCCGCGGCCATTGGTGTACCGCCGAGAAGGGGCGGGGCCTTGAGGAGTAGGA